ATCACAATATTAATTGCTTATTATTGAATTGTTGCAAATAAATATCACATTTGGAACTGGTCAGTGTTCAAAAAATGCTGGGAAATCACTTCATGTAGCCCTACAAGAGTGATTACTGATAAACTGTCTGAAAAAGAGAAGAAAGAAATCACCCACTGACTTTCAAAGCTGCTAACGACTTTCTACTTCGAGGACCTTCATAGAAATGTAGTGGAGTGAAAAGTACAATATTTGTCTTTCAAATGTAGTGAAGTTAAAGTCATAAGTTACCAGAAAAAATAATACTCAAGTAAAGTACAAATACTCAAAAAGTGTACTTAAGTACAATACTCAAGTAAATGTACTTAGTTACTGTCCGCCTCTGCTCGGAAGTAAACACCCACTGCTATGATTGTCTAACAGTTGTGTATGTTTTACAGCCTGCGTCCTTCACAGATGGACACTGCTGTGATTTAGGTTAAAAACACATAAATACTTAGTACTTATCAAACGATCTGTAATAACAAAGTAATAGTGACCAGGTAATAGAAACTCACACTTGTGTGGTGCGACATTACTGTCGAATCCAATATAGTCGACACAGCATCATCGTTTAAAGGGGTCATATGATGTTGCTAAAAAGAACATTATTTTGTGTATTTGGTGTAATGCAATGTATTTATGCGGCTTAAGGTTAAAAAAACACATTATTTTCCACATAATGTAATTATTGTTTCTCCTCTATGCCCCGCCTTTCTGAAACGCGTACATTTTTACAAAACTCATCGTTCTGAAAAGTGAGGTTTGATTGGCCAGCTATCCAGTGCGTTGTGATTGGCTGAATACCTCAAGCTTGTAACAGAAATGTTAACATACTGTGACGCCGTCTCCCGGCACGGCGAGACAAAACCAATAAAACCCATTACAAACGAGGGATTTATTGCATCCAGCAGTGGCGGCTCGTGGGTTTTAAAATAGAGGAGGCACACTAATTGTATTGGTCTGGGATCCCTGCCAATTATTATTATTATTATTATTATTATTTGCTTAACCACTTTAAAATGGCTTTTTGGTTGCTTTTAGTCAGAAAATGTAAAGAAAACAACATTCATACAGCAAGATAATATAATTTCACTTACCTGGCTTATCACTTGAAGCAAACATCCATCCCTTCTTAAAAGTCTGTGTTAAAAGAGAGCTGCCTGTTGCGCCATTTAATTAAGCCGACTGCTGTAGCCTATATCCAGCTTAGGCTGTTTTCCCTAAATTTGTATATATACACTGTTTGAATGACAGCTTGGTAAATCTGTTGCCATTCAAATATTCAATATCGCTACTCATCATAAGTACTTGGTACATTATCAGCGCAGCGGCAGACGTTCAAACTAATTTCACTCGCTGAACACTCTGACTGAGCGCTTCAGAATTTCATTCTCTGTCAAGCGATCTCTGCTATTTTTCAGTTCATCTGAATGGATGCGCAGCGCACCTGTATTTGATGTTCTGTAAACTCTAGTGTGAAGGCGCACGACTCGCCGTCGCTTTGTCTCACACACACGCAGAGAAAGAGAGAGAGAGAGAATTGACGCGCTACAAGTAAACTATATTCTTTGTTGTATTTTCCTGTCAAAATAACAGCGTTTTATATTGTTCTTATTAGTATAATTCGTATTATTATTGTCTTATCAGTATTTTTGTTTGTTTTTTCCCCATTTTATTTTACAGAAAGAGGGGTGGTTGATTGCGATTTCACTTTTTTAATGTTAGTTAGTGTGTAATGTTGCTGTTTGATCATAAACAATATCTGCAAAGTTACGAAGCTGAAAGTTCAATGCAAACAGAGATATCGTCTTTTAAAATTCTGGCGGTTTAATGCCTACAAAAACGACTGGTATGGGACTACAACGAGTTAATTCCTAGGTCCGTTACGTCAAGAACCCCAGAATTTTACATAAACCCCGCCTCCGCGAACACGCAGCAAAGGGGGCGAGGCCATGCTGCGCTGCTTTAGAGAAGAGGAAGAGAAAACTAGAGGTGCAAGTAAAAATCTATTCATATATGAATCGTGATTCTGTCTTCTAACGATTCTAATGGATTCACAAGTTTCAAAATCAATGTTCTAAAGCAGCATTCTCATCCTGTTCCTGGCCTCGCCCTGCTCTGCACACGCTCTGCATCTCTCTCTCTCTCTCTCTCTCTCATTCAGATCATCAGCTCAGTGAATACACTTATTTTCACATACTATAGCTATGAGAAGCGTTACACATGGACGCGTGTGTGGTTGCCGAACTGTATTAAAGCTTTAATCAGGATAAAACCATATATTAAAAGCTAACAGAAGCAGTAACATTTACAAATAACAGCATATCTAAAAGTATGAGACAACAACAAACAAAAA